TTTTTTTTTTTTTTTTTTTTTTGCTGTAAAGTTGTTTCAGTTCCTTGTATATTCTGGATATTAAACCTTTGTCAGATGTATATTTTGCAAGTATTTTTCCCCATTCTTTTGGTTGTCTTTTAACTTTGTTAATTGTTTCTTTTGCTGTGCAGAAGCTTTTTAGTTTGATATAATCCCATTTGTTTATTTTTCCTTTGGTTGCCCATGCTTTTGGGGTCATATTCATGAAGTCTGTGTCCAGTCCTACTTCCTGAAGTGTTTCTCCTATGTTTTCTTTAAGAAGTTTTATTGTTTCAGTGTGTATATTTAATTCTTTAATCTGTTTTGAGTTGATTTTAGTATATGGTGAGAGGTATGGGTCTAGTTTCATTCTCCTGCATATTGATATCCAGTTATCCCAGTACCATTTGCTGAAGAGGCAGTCTCTTCCCCAGTGTATAGGCTTGGTGCCTTTGTCAAAGATCAGATGGCTGTAGATGTGTGGGTTGATTTCTGGATTCTCTATTCTATTTCATTGATCAGTATGTCTGTTTTTATGCCAGTACCATGCTATTTTGGTTATTGTAGCTTTGTAGTATACTTTAAAGTCAGGTAATGCTATGCCTCCAGCTTTATTTATTTATTTATTTTTGCTCAACATTGCTTTGGCTATGCCTGGTCTTTTGTTATTCCATATAAATGTCTGGATAGTTTTTTCCATTTCTGAGAAAAATGTCATTGGAATTTTGATAGGGATTGAATTGAATTTGTATATCACCTTGGGTAGTATGGACATTTTTGTAATGTTCATTCTTCCAATACAAGAGCATGGAATGTCTTTCCATCTTTTGTGTCCTCTTTAATTTCTTTCAGCAGTGATTTGCAGTTCTTGTTGTAGAGATCTTTCTCATCCTCGGTTAAATTGATTCCTAGATATTTTATTTTTCTGGTGACTATTGTAAGTGATCTAGCTTTCTTGATTTCTTTTTCTGCTAGTTTGTTGTTAGAGTATAAAAACTCTGCTGATTTTTGCGTGTTGGTTTTCTGTCTTGCAAGTTTGCTGATATTTTAGTGCATCTTTGTTTTATTCTGGCATGTCTTCTAAACCTAACCGTGAGCCCCTTTTGTTTCCCCCTCTGTCTAACTAACTCATTTGGCATTTGCTCCTTTATCCTTTCTGGATCGTTCACTGCAGTGAATCTCTGCTGATTTTTGCGTGTTGGTTTTCTGTCTTGCAAGTTTGCTGATATTTTAGTGCATCTTCGTTTTATTCTGGCATGTCTTCTAAACCTAACCGTGAGCCCCTTTTGTTTCCCCCTCCGTCTAACTAACTCATTTGGCATTTGCTCCTTTATCCTTTCTGGATCATTCACTGCAGTGAATTGCTGTGCTTTTTGGACCATTTTCATTTTTTTTTAATTAAGTAAAATGAAAAAATCTCCTAAACTCTTCTCCCATCTCTGAAAACATTTACTCAGCTGTTTTGCCCTTGTTTATTTCATCAGTCCCACCACCAGCTCCAAGCCCTCTTGTTAGCTGCCCAAATCTATTTTATACTGATGTGTTAGGTCTGTTCTGTCTGTTGTACCTTATTGTCCCCAAGTCCTCCAGACCTCTAGGGCCACTCTCTTTCCTCCATTATCCAAATGAAATACCTCTTCCACCACTGCTGTCCATGTCCCTGTTTGGACCCCACTGCCATCCTACGTACCTGAGGGAAATCTGCACACACCCAGTATTTCTGAAGATGCTGAAGTCACTGATTTGTCTAGTGGTTCCTTACCTTTTACTTCTTGCTCCAAACCCCAACCTAATTATCAATAACCCCAGCCCCCATTCCACTCTCAGGTTTCCTTCCCCCAAACTTGAATCTCTCTCTCTGACCCCCAAGGCACACCTAAAGTGATGCTGCCATCCCTGAACCCTCATTGCAATCATTTTCACTGACAGATTCTCTCATCCAGACAGCAAGAACCTTCCCTTTCATTAATCTAATGGATTTATCTTGCTCTCCAAAACAAAAGAACAACCCTGCCCCCCAACCCCCCAGATGAATTCTGTGGCTCCTTCAGAATATGAAATGGTTACAGTCAGCATGGTTGTTTTTTAATATATTTTTCTTCCCTGATTCATTTTATGAAGTTCAAATGTGTTAATGGAAATAAATGTGCCTTATAAACAGTAATGTGCTGTACAGTTAAAGAAATTGCTGTTGTCATTCATTTAAAAAAATTCTGTCTGCATTTTACTTCCTTTGAAAAGAGTAAGGACTGAGCATATAGAGTAGCACAGAGGTTTTGGTTTTCTGACCAGACTCTTGTGTACTGAGAACTGAGAAGAACGTAGCCATATAAGGATCTTTATTTATACAAAGCAGGAGCGGCAGCCAACGCCCTCTGGGGAATAGGAAATGCTGGCAGGAGCCATGCCCCTGAGTCTGTCTGAGGCTCTAGCTCATCATGGGGGTGCCTGAAGGAGAGGAAGGAGCCTGGAGCCAAAGGAGCAATGGCTGAGCCCCTGAGGAGGCCCTGGAATATTCCAGGGCTCGACCCTCTCAATGTTTCCAGAAAGTACACCTGGGCACCTGCCCTGCTGCCGAGTTGTTTCAGGTCTTGGTTTCCATCTTGCTGACCATCAGAGCTCCCCCTTGGCCTTTGTCATGCCTGCCCCCCATGAATGCCCATGAACCTGTGGGTCAGGCCTCTGATGTGTGCCCCCTCTTGTGTCATATCCAGGGACAGGGTGCCTTATCGGAGAGACTCCGGAGCTTTAGCATGCAGGACCTTACCACCATCAGGGGAGATGGTGCCCCTGCTCCCTCGGGCCCGCCACCACCAGGGTCTTCACGGGCCAGCAGCAAACATGGCCAGCCTAAGATGTCCAGGAGTGCTTCTGAGAGTGCTGGCAGCTCAGGTAGGTGTTCCTTTGCTTCCCCTCTTTCCTAATCCTTGGGCCTCATTTTCATGAGAGCAGCCTGCTCCACCATGTGGCATGCAACCTGGCCCTTGCTCCATGGACCTGCCACCAACAAAGATATCAGACTATGCCAGGCCAGCTAAGGGGCAGAGCACCACTCAGGCCAGGTCAGGAGGGTGGCCTGGGGACTCAGATCAGGGCAAGATTAGGTCACCTGCACCAAAGAGTTCTGCCTTCTCCATCTGATTGTCTGGGGAGTTGGGGGTGGTTGGGTGGTAGTGCCTAGGCCAAACCTAGAGGCAACAGGTACAGCTGGGCCCGGGCCATGGAGCTTTTTTTGTTCTTTTCCCCTCTGATCCCACACTCCTTGGTTGGCTACCTGTCTTGAGCTCCTGAACGTCTCCTCTGACTCACCCAGGGCTTCCAGCTCTCACGGGCCCTCTTTCCTGCCTGAATATTTCCTGTTCACTCTCTTGCTGTACTGTCTCCTCCACATACCTGACACCCCATTCACCACGCACACCCCCAGCTCCTGCACACCAATGGCCATACTAGCTCTGAGGTCTAATTCCTGTGGAGGCCAGGGCCTTCCAGAAACCACACCTCTACCTCCGACGTCTAACTCTGTAAAACACCTGGCATGAAGTTGCCATATCGGGATTGACCAGGGGAACTTGTTAAACATGCAGAGTCCTGGGCCTATCCCTAGAGGTGTCAGTAGGTCTGGGGTGAGATCCAGACGTCTGATGTCATTGAGGTGCAGCCACGTTTGGGCCCCCCCAGCATCTGATCCACTGGTGTGTGTTCCAGGCTTGTAGAGGACAAGGGCATGAACTAGCGGGTAGGGAATGGGGCCAGGACTCACTGTTTTCCAGACTGCTCCTTGGGGAGATGACAGGGACCTTGACTCTCAGGAGCTGAGCACTGCTGCGGCTGGCAAAGGGTTGTTGGTGGGAGTTGTAGGGGATGGTTCTGGGTTGCCACCTCCATCGCTCCCTGTGGTGGGAAGGGTGAGGATTGGGCCACTCTTTTAGAGTCTGTGGCCATGACTTGTGCCTGGTGGTTGCCCTGCCCTTAAACGTATAAATGGGGACGTCCACGCCACCTGACCCTGAGTGGATGCTATGAGGTGCAGCCTGCAGGGACACCTCGGCCCTGCGTCCCGGGCCTGACAATCCCACATGACTCTTGGGGGTCTTAGACATGGATGGAAAAGCATGAGACCTATGGCTGCCCTGGGAATGACCACTCATGCCCAGAGCCAAATGCAGCACAGGTGTCCATCAGTTTCCTCCCCTCTCAGGAATGTCCCCTCTGCTCCTCCCTCAGGTTTGAAGACTGGGCTTTTCTGTTGGGAGATGCTTTAACCCTGTCACTGCTGGAAGCAGGGCAGGGTTGGGAGGTGGAGGCTTGGCCATAGGGTGAGAGCCATCTCAGGAAGGGGTTATCTCCTGAGGAACCCCTTCCTCCCCTCTCAGGAATGTCCCCTCTGCTCCTCCCTCAGGTTTGAAGACTGGGCTTTTCTGTTGGGAGATGCTTTAACCCTGTCACTGCTGGAAGCAGGGCAGGGTTGGGAGGTGGAGGCTTGGCCATAGGGTGAGAGCCATCTCAGGAAGGGGTTATCTCCTGAGGAACTTAGAATGGAATCCCCGAAGGCCAGGCAGGAAGGGATCTTGGGGATCATTCAGTCTTAATTCTCTGATTTTACCAGCAAAGAGATGGAGACCCAGGAAAGGGGATTGTCAACAGGGTCCCCCACAGTGGGCTGCAGCAGAGCACAGCCTTCTGACTCTCAGGCCAGTCCCTCTGGTCACTCACCTGCTCATCCAGGCTTCACTGAGCATCTACAGCTTCTGACCTGCCAGGCACTGCCCCAGAAGTAGGAGTGAGAAATTGAATTAGGCGTCATCTCCACCCTTGATCAGCTCATTGGCTACTGAGCCTCAAAAGAAAGCTGTCACTCGGAAGTAAAAAGGGCCCCAATTCAGTGAGACCCAGAGGCCAGAGAAAGAACCGAGGGGGTGAAGCCCCGAGGGGGTAGCCCCACAGCAAGCAGCTCACCCTCTGTGCACCTCACTTCTGTGTCTATATGGGAATGACACCCATGTATCCACACAGGCTGTTGTGAGGCGTCAATGACATAAGCCGTGCAGAAGTGCTTCGCATTATGCCTGGTACCAATATGTAGTAGCTGCTATTATTGTTCTTGTTATTTATCTCACCCAAGAAAGCACTTTGTCATACTAAGTGTCCAGGAGAGAAATGGGCTGCCTTGTAGGGTGGTGAGATCCCTGACACTGGAAGGGCCCAAATCAGAATTGAATGGTCAGGCTCTAGGGAGGGATTTCTGCTTTGGCTAGGAGGTGGGCCTCAGTGGCCCTGCAGTCCCTTTCCCTCTGAGTCTGTGTTGCCCTTATAGAGGGGAGCCAAGTAGAGGAAGCAGGCTCAGAGAGGTGTGCACCATGCCAAGGCCACACAGGACCAGCATCCAGGCCTTCTGCCTAGACCTCCCCTTGGTGGATTATTCAGGGCAGCCGCCGGACTGGGAATCTGCGAAACTTGGTGGAGTCTAAACGATGATGGGGGTGTGGCCTGGGCCTTGAACCTGTTCCCAGCCCAGCATCAGGTAGAAAACGATATGGGATGATGTGTTTTGGCACTGGCCCTGCCACCCTCCATTAGTAAAGATGGTGACATCCCCTGCTACACCCCAGGGAGGCCGTGGATCGCAGGCTGAGAGAACCAGCCTTGCTGTTATGTGACCTGGCCCTCCACACTGCCCTTGGCCCCAGCATCTGTGATTCGGGGACCGAGAAGGGAGGCCAGGCATGGTCTCCCCAGCTGTTCTGGGGCCTAAAATAAAAGCCATCTCAGAAGGAAAGACAGGTGAAACATGGCCCAAGGCCTGGGTGTGGGACAGAAGTGTCCAGGTCAGAGGCTCTGGGGCTGTCATACCCCTGAGTGGAGGGTCGGGTGCCTGGGAGGAGGTCTGGCAAAAGAAGCCTGGCCATGCAGGTGGTGTGCCCTGCCCAGCTCAGCTTACAGCGTGGGCCTCAAACACCCGGCCTGGTCAGGTAGGGAAAAGGGCGCAGGGCGGGGAGGAGGCTGGGATTCCATCCTGGCTGGCTGACGCTGGGCCTGTGCAGACACAGCAAATGCAGCACAGTGAGGCACATGCCACTGAGCAGTCACCACACTTGTTCCTGCTGGGCCCAGATTCAGCCTCAGAACTTTTCTCACAACAGTACCCCAGGTGGTCCCCACCAGAGGATTTGACCTTGGCACAGGAGACGGACCCAATTCCCTTCTGTCTTCTCCTGTGAAAAAAGGGCCCAATAATTCCTATTCAGCCTATGTCTTAGGGTTGTGAGAATAAACAAGATCATTTGCAAACCCTGGACAGGTAGCAGGAGTCGAAGACAGCCTGGGAGAGAGGACAGGTAAGAAGTGGTGGCTGCCCCCGTGGAGTTCTGTGCAGCCACTGGAAGCAACAGATCACAAGTACACACCGATGGATCTTGAAAACATCATGCCTAGTGCGAAAAGTACAAGATGGAATGAGATTTTAAGATTTTATGTAACAATTTCTGTAAAATAAAACTATATACCCACCATGCAAAATAATATGTAGTTTGCAAGAATAACACATTTAAACAAAAAGATGCACATTAAAATATTAAAATCACTGCTCCTTGAGGAGAAAGGAGCATGTGAGTGGGGTGTGGGGACAAAAGTCATGCAGAGGTACACAAGGAGCAAGGGGGTCCCATGAACCAGTGAGGACCATTTGCTGTGAACTGAGAAGGGAGATCCACACAGTCCTCTGCATTTCAAAGAAAGGAAGGAGGCAGCATGTGAAGGAGGAAAAGAGGAAGGAGGCACATATGCTGTCCCTGCAGGGTTACTTTGCTCCGCACGCTCCTGGAAGGCAGTCACACAGTCTCTGCTTCCCCCTGTAACCACCCCAACTCGATGTGCCTGTCACATGCCGGGCACACAGAGGCCCTGCATGTGGTCAGGGGAGGACACAGGGTCTGGGCATTGGGGATGGAGAGAGATAGTTCTTTTCTGTTGCTTTCAGCACCCAGGCGGGGGTTGGGCAGTGCATCTGACCTGACCCCCTCACCTGCCTGGAGCTTTCCTCCTTGCTCCAGGGGTCAGGAAGGGCAGGAACTGACATTGCCCTGTCTGCAGGGTGAACTGGGAGGTACTTAGACACCATACATTGAATGCCTAGCATTAGACACTAGGAAGGCTACCAAGGGAGTTGAAAGAATGATCCTGGCCTTCCATGCACTTGGAGTCACTCAGTCAGCATGTATTTAGTGAGCACCTACTATGCGCCAAGGCTCAGATGTGCAAGACCAATGAAGAGTGCAAGGCAGCAGCCAATTAGGCCTTCGGCCAAATGCCCAGCCACTAAGGACTTTGGGGTTCAGAGGTCAGTCTGAGGAAGTTTCCTGGAGGACATTCTGAACTGGAAGGCATAGAGAGGAGAAGGCTTCTGGGCAGGGGTGGTTGGCGTTATTTCCCAGAGCAAACTTTGACCCCATCCCCGTCTTTAGGGCTATGGGCCAGGTGAGGGTATTTTCTAGCACCTGAGAGGAAGGTGGATCTGAGATGATTCCTCTTCCCCACCTTGGTGTCTCTGCAGAGACCCACATTCCTGGGACCCATATATTGAACACACTAGGATCCCCACAACTCACCCAGGCCTCCCTGTTTGCCTGGGGCTGGTTCCTGTCCAGTGGGGGATGTCTCTGATGGTGCCCCCACCCCGTTCCCACAGTGTGTACCTGCTGCTCCACCTGCAGGACCCGGAAAGGTGAGTAAGCAGCCAGCCTCTGCAGCGTGCTGGGCTCTCGCCTCCAAAGAAGATTCTAACCACGAGCTGGCACCTGACCTTGGGGCTCCCTTTCAGCTGCATGGTCACAGGGGAGGGGTCAGGAGCTTAGCCCCTTAAACAGCAAACACATTATCTTACCATTTCTGTGGGCTAGGAATTTGGGAGTTGTTCAACTGGGTGGTTCTGGGTCAGGGTCTCTCAACGGGTTGCAGTCAAGGCTTCAGCCAAAGCTGAATCATCTGAAGACTTGACTGAGCCTGCAGGAGCCACTTCCAAGATGGCTCTGTCATGGCTTTTGGCTGGAGGCCTCAGTTCCTTACCACATGGGCCTCTCTAGGGCTGCTTGAGTGTCCTTACTATGTGGCAGGTGGCTTGGCCTAGAGTAAGTGATCCAAGAGAGAGAGGGCAGGCAGGAGGCTGCGGCACCTTTTATGACCTAGTCTTTGAAGTCACATCTGCCACTTCTGCCTTATTCTGTTTGTTGTCCAGCCTACACTCAAGGGGAGGAGAATGAATCTCGACCTCTTGAAGGGAGGAGTATCAAAGGAGACAGCATTATACTTCCTCGTGCTCTGGGTGATGAGGACACAGGAACTTACCCAGGTCCTCTGAAGTGACAAAGCTCTACAGTTCCAGGGCTTTCTGGTCCTGGTGCAGCGAAGGGAGCCCTGGTCCTGCTTTGCGACTTACTAGCTGTGCAACTTTCTGTGAATCACCTAACCACTCTGAGCCTCAGTTTCCTCATCTTACAATGGAGATAAAGATCCCCACTTCCCCACCTCACTGTGCTGTTGTGAAAATGGCTGCGAAAGGGCTTTTTGAATGATTATTATTGGAGCAGCCCGGGACCTCTGGGAGAGGGCACGAGCCTGGGGTCTCACAGTTCTGTCTGGGGACTCCTGCTGCTGCCCTCCCAGTGTGTGTGAGTGACAGCTTGGTGGAGCCATGGCCACCCCGGGTTGGCTGAGTTGTTCTCTCATGACCTGCACCTCCTATTTGCTCGACCTTAACTACACACATTAGGGACTGCAGAGGGTGCTGGACTAACCCAGCCCCATCTCCCCTGCCTGGCTCCCCTGTGGGCATGGCGTGGCCCTCCCTCATAGGTGGTGAGCAGGACATGGAACTGCATTATGTGAAGTGTCCCGTCTCCTCCATTTCTTCATTTTTAAGGCTTCTCAGTGCTAAACTTTTTAAGGGCTATGGAAGACCTGGGGGGTTTGGAGGCCATAAGGCCAAGCTGAACTGTCAGTCAGAGGAGTGCTGAGCCAGGGGACAGTAAGAGACCAGCATTCGCCCACTGTTCTGACTCCAGCCAGCATGTGTCCCAATCCACATCGGAAACAGAGGGGCAGCACACAGCTGGTTCCAGTGCTGGATGCTAGGACTTGGGCCTGGTGGACATACTAGTTCATGGGAAACAACAGTGCAGTCCCCGGGTCCCCAGGTGACTGTGGTTATGTCTATCTATTCACCCTTTAAAGTTTTGAGTTTAAATTCCATGAGCCATTCCAAAAGCCTCTGATTCTGGGATGTCACCACCTGAGGGACCAGGGAGAGTAAATCTGCCTTCTCTATTCTTCCCTGCTGTGTGCTACTCTCAGAAGCCCTCACCTGCCACCACACCTGGGGGTTTCACAATCAGAGGCTGCACAAAAGCCTCTGATTCTGGGATGTCACCACCTGAGGGACCAGGGAGAGTAAATCTGCCTTCTTTATTCTTCCCTGCTGTGTGCTACTCTCAGAAGCCCTCACCTGCCGCCACACCTGGGGGTTTCACAATCAGAGGCTGCGTTCCCAGTGTATTTAAATCTAACTGCAGTTGACTGTAGGAACTGACTGGTTTTGGAGGGCCACAGTGGCAGGCTGCATGTACACAAGAGTGTGTCCAGGATTCAGTGGGCTGGGTGGGGATTCTGGTGTCTCATCCCAGAGTGGGCGGGGGAGCTGCAGGGAGGGAGAGTTGTTGGGGAGTGGGCAGCAGGTGGGTTGGACCTGCTCAGGGTCCTGACCTGGAAGCCTCTGCCCCAGCTCTCCTGCTCTTGGGCCTCAACCTCTCCAAGGGCCTCTTACCACCCAGTGCCCTGGAGTTCTTCCTCTCCTCTCCCCGAGAAACCATCGGATGACTCAGTTCTCTAGGCCTCAGTCTCCCCTCCTGTAAGGCGGTGTGGTTGGTCCAGCTGTGATGGTCTCTGCCAGTAGATCCTGCTAGGTTGTGAAGTGGTGGCAGGTGGTGCCAGGGGGGAAGGGGTTTGTCTGGCACCCAGGGCTGGAGGCTGACTCTTGAGCAGCAATGCTGTGAGCGAGGGTTTCAGGGGGGGTCATAGACCCTTTCCTCCTGGTCCCTTGAATTGATGTTTTGTGGGGGACTGCTCAGGCCACAGCCTGGGAAGCTTCAAGTCTTTTGGGGGGCCTTATAGAGCCCCAGGATCCCTGAGCAAAGGGAAGTTTTCTAGGGGTTGTAAATCCAGGTCTTGATTCTGAAGTGGGGGTGGAGGGAAGGAAAAGTGGGCATTTGGGAGGCTAATAAGCACATCCTAGGGCAGTGACAGCGCAACAGCAGAACTCAGAGGTTTCAGAGAGCTGCAGGCGTTGGGCAGAGCCTCCGTTCTAAGCTGCGCATTTCAGATGCCAGGAGAACATTCTCTCCCTACCTCTGCTCCATTCACCCAGCAGAACTCAGAGGTTTCAGAGAGCTGCAGGCGTTGGGCAGAGCCTCCGTTCTAAGCTGCACATTTCAGATGCCAGGAGAACATTCTCTCCCTACCTCTGCTCCATTCACTCCCCTCTCTCCACTGATTCCCTGTTGTTTCCTGCCTTTTTCTGTACTTCTATTATTATCTCTCCCCACCACCCTTACTCCCCTCTTTTCTCTCTGCTTACCTTGGTGCAATATAGAACTGGATTACTGTCTGTTAGAGAGGTAGAGATTGAGATAGAGAGAGAGAAATGCATTTTATTGAGTGTGGTTCCTGGACAGGATCTTTCCTCCGACCACAACAGGAGGAGTTGTCGAGGTTTAGAGAGTGGGAAGTGAGAGTGTGTATATGTGTGCATGGGTGTGCGTGCTTGCACACGCACATGTGTGAGTTTCATGCACAAAGACCTTTCCCTAACAAAATGTTCTTTTCTCTCTCCTTGGTGGCTGTTGGGGACGCGGATGTAAGTGTTCTGGACGGGCGTGCTCTTCTTCAGACACATTTGCTGCCTTCCCTTAATGCTCCTGCTAACGTGTGCTGTGTGGGGTGTGTTTGCTAACCTGGGGAATGTTCTTCTGCACTGCGGCATGGGGTTGCCAAGGCTCTGAGCAGGCGACTCTGCTCAGACCTTTAAAGGGCTTGGAGACTCAGCCAGTTCCGCCCCCACTCCCTTCTCCCCTCCCCCAAGAGAGAAGAGGTGGAGCCTGTGGCCCAGCCTGCTGTAGCTCTGCTGACATGTTTGCTAATACAGAAATGTCAGCTGAGGCCATATACCCATTCTCCTGCTGTGAAAGACAACAGGGACCCCTACTGTGTCCTAGAGGTCTTCCAGCCTCAGTCACCTTGGTGGCAGCTCTGGGGGCCCTAAGCCTTGGCTGCCATCACCTGAGACTTGGAGGTGGTGGTTGTGGCCATGGCCTTGCGTGGGAGACTCTCCTCC